AACTTGCTCAGCCCGAAGTGGATCCATCTTTTGCCCACCCCTGGATTCGGACACTCACCCGTATCCATCCTCTTTTCTCTTCGCTTTTGTTTTTATTGTGCTCGGTTTTCTTCCTTGGTACCTGGGATTCAGTCTTTTCCTTTCCTGTTTATTTTTTCGAATGGCTCTTGTTTTTTTTTTTTAAATCATGTTTATATTGTCTATATTACAAGGGAACGATAAGATATGCCACGCCATGTTGTTTTTGAATGCTATACTAAGGATACAGTACATCCCAAACCAGTTGGCGGCTGGCGAGAATATTAATGGTCCATAAGCCTGGCAAGCCTGGTTTCCCTCGCGATCGAAAATTTTTGAGTGGCAGATACTGCTATGACTCGTGGAGCTTGGGCATTTTCAAAATGTCTTACCGGACCAGGGGAGGTGGTGATAGGTATAAAATGAAAGATACTTGATATATATATACTATTCTAGAAGCTACATGTCAAGTTTAGTGACTCTAGCTCATATTATCTACCAAAATTGCCCATAAAACAGGATTTCGATATCGATTTTTATCGATTACTTAAACACGGGGCAAAGATCTGCGCGGGCATTAGGAGGATGTACAGCTAAAATTACAAGTCTCTAGCTCTTTTAGGTTCTGAAATCCTTGCGATCATACATACAGACAGACGGACGGACAGACGGACGGACAGACGGGCAGACAGACAGACGGACATGGCTAGATCGACTCGGCTATTGATGCTGATCAAGAATATATATACTTTATGGGGTCGGAGATGCTTACTTCTGCCTGTTACATACATTTGCACAAAAACATTATACCCTTTTCACCCATTTTCAATGGGTTCAGGGTATAAAAACAATTTATTTCATATTATATTTATTTTGATGCTATTTTTTAATATTTTATTGATAGGGTTTTTTTCACTATTTATTTCATATTATATTTATTTTTCTATTATTTTATTTGCGCTTACGATCATGTGCCACTTTCACTTCGTTATGTTTTGAACGCCAAGTCGCTTCGCTCCATGCTTCACTTCACTTAGCGTCTGGGCGAGTGCGCACACAAGAAAAACACAAAACGTTTCCGTTCACGCCTTTCGATTTTATTTTGTTTTTTCTCTTTTCTCCACAGATTTTCTTGTAAAAAAAAGAATATATACCACTATAGTGTTAATGTTTATATTAGACCGAATTTATTTCATTATGTTACACTTTCCTCGTCGCGCTCATATACAGCGTAATTTCGACGCGTACCGAACGATTTGCCCACGGTGGGCTTTGGCAGCTGTGCCGTTTACACACATTCACGCTTGTACGTGTGAGCGTGTGTTTGTGTGTGAGGGCACGCTCTGCTCTCACTAACGTGCTTCGCTCGCTCAGCAAGAAACTTTTGTTTTCTGTTTCTGTCCGCTATTTTCGGGTCTCTGTTTTCCTATCTGTCCGCCTGTTCCCTTCTTTTCTATGCTGCAGCACTTTCGTGGGTCTTTGTCCTTGCTCGGTCGCCACTTGTAAAGTAGTGTTCTAGCCGGGGTTATAAAACTCAATCTCACCAAGTCCACTTACCAAGCCACTGACCAACTACAAGAATACCTGCACGAGTTTGAGACGTGGGCATCAAAGTGGCGAATTGCCATCAACAGGCAAAAATCGATATGCTGCACATTCGCGATCCGGAGAGATACCTCGCCAGGAGTATTCCTCCAAGGCGAACTTCTTGAGCATAAAGACGGCCATCGCTACCTGGGAGTCTACCTTGATCGCAGGCTCACTTGGAGCAAACACATCGCAACAACATGCCACAGCGTACGTCAAAAACTAAAAAGTATGGCTTGGCTCCTTAAGGCAAGCAGCAAGCTTTCTCTGAGCAATAAGGTGCTGCTTTATAAAACCCTCCTGGCCCCAGTCTGGCGCTATGCAAGCCAAATTTTCGGCACGGCAGCAAAATCCCACTTGAGGAAAATAAGTGTCTTCCAAGCGAAGGTACTCAGACTGAGTGCTGGGGCTCCCTGGTACATCCGCAACCGGGCCCTAGCAAGAGACCTAAAGGTCCCCTTGGTGGGCGACCTCTTACGTCAGCAGTCCACCAGCTACATGGCCCGTCTTTCTGCCCACCCCAATATATTGGCTAGAAGACTTTTCAGAAGAAAGCGACGGAGACTTCGCAGAATCCACCCCATCGACCTCCCAAACCGGGTAATCATTTGAAAAAAAATAAATAAAAATAATAACAATCATACTAAAATATAATGTATATTGAATAATTATAAAACTTAATAGGTAATATTAAGTATGTCTATCCCATTATAGTCAAGCTAGGTTAAGATGCTCATGTATAGTATCAATAAATTAGCTAATAAACAGAGAGAAAAAAAAAAGACCAAGTCCACTCTGCAAGAAATTTGTAGTTTACCGAGACGCGGCGCTGGAAAGGTGTGTAGAGAGCTGTAGCGATCGCTCCGCCACAGGGGGATTAATTTTATAGGGAAAGAGGAAGGGAACCGCCGGGATCTCTCCGCGGCTAGGGTTATGGTTGGTCAGCATGATGGGTGCTGCTGGGATCGCTCCGCCGCAGAATAAGGGGCTGAAAATAAACAATCCCTATTCGGCCCCGATCTGATCCAACTGCTTCTATTTATATCCTTACCTACGTTAACCTCATCGCTGCCTCGCGGCTTCGCTAAGTGTCCCTTTTATCATTGCGTTCACACGTCCGATACTCACACTAGCCAGAATCAAGGTGAAGTCGCTGATCAGCCTCAGCATCTTACGACCCCTTTCGCCCCTTTTCGCCGTGCGTCGAAAACTCTCTTTCTTTAGGTTGTTCCCTCGTCTGCTCCTCCTGTTAACATTTTAGGAGTTGTTTTGATTAAGATCTAAACTATAATCGATTTCCTATATTCATTTCGTTTTCTTAAGTTAATTGCTTTAGTAGTGATAAAAAAAAATTCAAATAAAAAAAAAAATTGTACCCTTGGCAGGGTTCGAACTCGAAACTAACCGATAATTGAGTTTTAATGAGAAAATACCAATTAAAATAGCAGCACAGAAAACAATACAATCGCAATTGCAATGCTGTTGATAGATCTCAAAGCAGACGCGCATGAATGTTTGTGTATATGTGTACAGAAATTCTTGGAATACCTAATCAAGGTCCCGAAACTGAATCGCACGCAAGATGAGCTGCAGACAATCCGAGACAAGTACAAGCGCCCAAGCTGAAACTAATCAGTCTAGCATGGCGAGTTCGCATCTGATACTGGATCAGTAAGAGCAAGGAAACCTCAGTGTCAGTTTCCTAGAGTAGAGCAAACAGAAATCCAAAGTATCGTTAATTGGAAGCTGTCTTACTCAGGTGACTCGTCTATGTCGATGAATTCTTATAACGTGTGGAAGCACTTAAAGGCCAATTTTGAGTTGCTATCGCGTTATGAGTTATTTGACCATTTTTATGAGGCGATAGTAGCACTTACAGATAGATTGATTCAACCCATGAACGAGCGGAATATACGAATAATATACACGCGCGAGAGATTTATGAAAAATATAGCTCAGCCAACTTCAACTCACCAGCGTGTTGAGGTGCGACGCCATGTCAGCAAAGTAACTGTGCAAATCGAAGGGGTTGATGAGAGTGAAGACGATTGCCCGACAGCTTTGATATAAGCACGGTCATCGATTTTTAGAGGGCGTTCAAAATTTTACTCATGTTTCGCTCGTTTTAAGCTTATTGACCCTCTGCAGCTACCTTTATCAGCCGAACAGCAGTCCGAATTATTAGCTACTATAAAGCAGTTCCAGTCTTTTGCAAGGAAGGGGTTAGGCAATACAAAATGGCTCACTCATTATATTGAAATAATTGAGTGTAAGCCTATAAAACAACGTTATTATGCAGTGTCGTCTGCAATTGAGAAGCTTATGTATGAGGAGCTACATAATGCTGGCGTTAGGAGTTATTGAGTAGTCGGATAGTCCATGGACTTGTGTTGCTTCAATAACCAGGTAAAATTCGACTTTGTCTAGACAGCCGAAAAGTAAACGAGGTGATGATAAAAACTTCTTACCCAATGCTCCTTTTGATGGTAATTACCGAGGGCAGAGTATTTCACAAGCTTTGATCTCAAAGACGCTTACTGGCAGATTCCCTTAGCAGCGAGAGCACGAGGACAAACCGCTTTCACGGTCCCTTGGTGGCCATTATATTAATTCACGGTCATGCCATTAAGATTATCTAATGCCCTCCAAGTCATGTCGAAACTAATGGATAAAGTCATTCCCCCTGAATTACGTAACGAGATCTTTATCTATTTGGATGATCTACTAGTCATCTCGGATTCATTCGATAAGCACATTACAGTGCTGAAAGAATTGGCAAATCGACTATCACTAGCAGGACTAACTATCAATGTTGAAAAGAGCATGTTCTGCCTGCAAGAAGTGAAATATCTTGGACATATTATAGGGCTTGACACCATCCAAGCAGACCCGCAAACGGTATCAGTAATAATCCTTGATTGCTGATACCGTTTGCGGGTCTGTTAAAGTGCTCAAGTCAGTTAAGCAAGTTAGGCGATTCTTAGGAACAACAGGCTGGTATCACAAATTTATTCAAAATTATGCCGGCATTGCTGCACCCATATCTGATACACTCAAGAAGCGAAGCAAGTTCACTTAGTGTAGATAATTTCATTAAATTAAAATCTATACATTTTAATTTTATGGAGTATGCGGAATTAAAAAAGAAAGTGCGAGTAATCAGTCTCAATTGGCGGATCTCAAAGTTGTGACGATATCATTTAGCGCAGAACAGAACACGCAACTGGCGAACAGACCCGCGCATGTAAAGTTTGACTACAAATGCTTCGAAATCAAATATCGAATGGAATCGAACCTTTTCAAAGTAGTTTACGCAATGAAATAATTAGATACATAACTTCTTCAAATACTTCATTTTTTCGAATATATATTGAATAATAGTATAAAAGTAATAGCTACATGGTGCATATAAAGTGATCTGCATCGATGCTGGAGTTAATGTGGCCCTCAGAGATCATGAAGTGCAGATGTTGTTCATTTCGGATTGGCTTATTTAAGAGAACTTGGCATTCAGTTCGCGTCGATGGACGCCCACCTCGGAGCAGTTGCTCTTAATGGCCTGGAAAAGGGCCAGCTGCTTGCTGTCCAATCCAGCAACAATAGCATTGCTTTGGGTGGCAGTTACATTGGTCATTTGCGTATTGCTTGCGCCTGCTGTATTGCCCTTGACATGGTACTCCTCAGCCTTGTAACGCGAATGCAGCGCCTCCAGAGTGTGGGTGCACACCTCATTGGGATCTAGCACGTTAATCAGCTTGAAGACCATCAATGTTATGCATAATTCCCACAGCGCAGATCAAGGCGTAGGAATTATCGAACATCGTGAATCGGGTGAGTCAAGAATCTGCTTGACCAGCAATGAAATAATGCCCTCGCCAGAGTCTTCCTTTGTTACGCCGGCAGTGGCCGTTTGTGAGTCACTAAAATCTCCAACGGAATCGTTGATTTTGCTTAAGTATGATTAAAAATATATTTGTTCAATAAATTTCACAAGCTGTGTAAGCAACAAAACGCGGCAATACACTGAAGATAGTCCATGACTTGTGTTGGAAGCTGTTTTAAAACAGTGTTAAAACGGAGGGCAATTTAAATTAAATGCCTTCAATAAATTGTTTCAGGAGTATGAAGAGTGACATAGCTATACGGCTATGTATTGTGATAATGTTGGTTTAGCCAGATATTATTATGAGTTCAATTGGTTTAAGAAAAGGAGAACACGTCTTCTTCTTTCATAAGTCTTTATTTGAATGTGTCTTTATATGGTTCTTAAATGTAAGCTTAGCCTAAAGCTGCGTCGCGGCTTCGGCAGAGAAGTTGGCGGCAGATCAGAACTATGTTTATATGTATATATATATATATATATATATATATATATATATATATATATGTATATATAAATAACATAAAGAATGTATATGTATTGGAGAGAAAGAGAGTTAGGCACGTATATATCATGAGCGGTCAGTGTATTGAAGTGCCCGCTACATTGAAAAGGTAACATATTACATTGCACTTAAAATGTGCTGGATGCTTGCGTTATGTTTATGTAACGACAAAGTGTCGTGGTTTAAATTATGTACATATATGTAGCGACAAAGTGTTGCTGTACAATATATTTGGTAGACACTGGGTACAGTGTACTCTCGATATATGCACATACGACATCTCCCTCCTTTTGAAAAATAACGTGATATATGTAGTTATTTTAAATTATTTAATTAATTTTTTTATTTAATTTCCTTTTTTTTATTTTTGTTGTGGTTTTTTTTGTAATGTAAAAATAGTAAAATGATTAAAAATTTCAAATATCTAAGAAAATTGAATTTTTAAATTGTTAAATGGCTGATCAGTCCTTAAATAAAAATTATGCTCTAGCTCAATTAGTTTTTGAATAATTTTAACCTATTCTTGTTAACTACAATTTTTCCCCACTACTTATTACTACTAATATTATTACTACTACTACTTATTTTTCCCCACATCTAGTGTATTATAGTTCCTATCTTCTATGCTTGTAACCTTATATGGTCCTAAATATTTACTTTATAGCTTATGTGCTGTTATATTATTTAGCATAACTAAAGTTCCTTTTTCTAGTTCTATATCATTTAGTTTTTTATCATATTCTAATTTTCGTTTTTCATTTTATACCTGAACCCATTGAAAATGAATAAAAAGGGTATAATGTTTTTGTGCAAATGTATGTAACAGGCAGAAGGAAGTATCTCCGACCCCATAATGTGTATATATTCTTGATCAGCATCAATAGCCGAGTCGATCTAGCCATGTCCGTCTGTCTGTCCGTCCGTGTGTATGAACGCAGAATCTCAGAACCTATAAGAGCTAGAGTCTTTTAGCTGTAGGTCCTCCTAGTCCATGCGCAGATCGAGTTTGTTCCCGATAATCGATAACTTGCCCCGTTCCAAGTAATCAAATTCGATATCGAAATCCTGTTTTTGAGCAATTTTGGTACCTATAAGAACCTATAAGAGCTAGAGTCTTTTAGCTGTAGGTCCTCCTAGTCCATGCGCAGATCGAGTTTGTTCCCGATAATCGATAACTTGCCCCGTTCCAAGTAATCAAATTCGATATCGAAATCCTGTTTTTGAGCAATTTTGGTAAATAATAAGAGCTAGAGTCACCAAACTTGACATGTAGCTTCTAGAATAGTATATATATATATCAAGTATATTTCATTTTATAGCTTTCGCCACCACTCCGCTAACACCAATCTCTATATATGAAACTGTTTGTTCTGACTGACTGATTGACTGATTGGTGATCAACGCTTAGCCCAAACCGTAAGAGCTGGGAAGCGGAAATTTTCACTGTAGTTACCTTATGTGATGTAGGTGCACGTTAAGACAGGGTTTCGGGAAATTCCACCCGCAAGTGTGGAAAAATCGCGAAAACGTTTGTTTGTAACTTTTTTGTTTACCATCCGATCGGCCTCAAACTTATTTTCAAAGATCTTTGTTCAAATTCACTTGAGGGGTGTTTCACACTTGATGGAAAATCATTTGAGACGTGTTTCACACTTTTCGCAGAATCCAAACTTTTTCGGGTGGAATGCGACTCAAAGATTTTTTTGCGAAGTTTTAAGTTGTGTCCGATTTGCTTCAAACTTATTTTCAAAGGTCTACATAAGAATGTAATAAATACGTGTTTCAGGGATTTGGGAAATTCCACTCGCAACAGTGGTAAATTGGCGGAAAACGCTTGTATGAAAGTTGTTTGTTTACCGTCCGATCAGTTTCAAAATTATTTCAAATTTTTTGAGAACATTGATTTTATAACATACGTGCCACGGGCAAGGCCGGGTTATACCCGCTAGTAAGCTATAAATCATGTTAGTAAACCACACACTCTTCTAACTCATTGTTGTGGTTTCTAAGCACTGCTATGCCTTCAATTCGAAATGTCATGTCTTCTTCTTCTCCACTCGCTTTCAACTTGCAAGCAGCCCGGCAGATTTTATAATTTTTCATTTTTCGATCATCAAGGCACCCTTTCTCAAAATAGGGTATTTTAACTATTCATAAGTTCTGCAACCAAGTACCACTAACCTTCTTATAAATACATATTTGACCCAATTTATAATTTCGTATTTAGTGTGCAACTATTAGTGCAATCAATAATAATTGTTTTCTTTAAGCATTCTAGGGTATCAATGCCTCGACGCGCCAAATAGTTGTTGGCATGTGTGTCTCATCTCACACATATTGGTAAAAATATGCATGTATGTGACTGCCAAGCCAAGGAAAGTATATGAATTTGAGAAGATTGCAACATTCTGCTTCGCACATGATGTCACAGGCTAGCGCTTTTTGTGTGTGATCGTGGCGTACAATAAAGTAATACATTATTAAATGCACGCATTTTTATAAAAGACCCTATTAATATTATTACTTTAATGTAAGTAATAAAGATTGAAATATATTCAAAGCAACACAAGATATGAAATTCTATAAGATGTGACGTCATAGTATATGATGTTGACGCGCCGCGTGCGTAACCTTTGGTTTGAATGCCATGGCCTGCCTGCATTCAAATTTTCTACCTACTTGCGCCGAGACTCGGCTATGCAACAACAACATTAGAACCCTAATAGTGTTGTTGTTGTTTCTACGCGCTGCCTTGTTGGAACGACAGAGAAACCAGCAACAACCACAGTGGCATTATTTGTCCCTTTTCTTTGCACTGAGTTTCCTATGTCCTCATCATCGCGCAGAAACTTTTGAAGATCAAGATGGACGACGAAAAAAACAAATGGGGTTTCGTGCGCACTGTTGTTTTTTTGCAAGTGATTTGTTGTTGCTTCCTATGGTAAATGAGCTTTATTTTTGAGTTTGATATTACGTTTGCGGACCAACTCGATCTACCACGCGCGATTTTGAAAACGGTAAAAAAAACTCGGAGTGAGTCTTCAGCTCTGTCTCTTTATTACTCAATAGAATTCTATCACATCATTGCAATTGCGATTTAATTTTTTTTCTGTGCTGCTATTTTAATTCGTTTTTTTCTCGCTAAGATTTAATTATTGGTGTGGCTATTGAGTAGAGGCGGCGGAAAGTAGCGCGGTCAGTTACGAGTTCGAACCCTGCCGAGAAACTATTTTTTTTTTTTTTTGGCTGGTGTGGCTTTTGTGTAGAGGCGGCAGCAAGTAATGCGGGCAGTTGCAAGTTCAAACCCTGCCAAGGGAACTTTTTTTTTTTTTAAATTTATCTTTATTACTACTAAAGCAATTGGTGTTGAAATAAGAGGGTTCAGGGTATCCCCTAGTCGGGAGCTCCCGACTAGGACCTCTTTATTGTTCTAATTCTAACATTGTTTTTGCTATTTTATAGGCTGCTTCTTATCTATACTTAAATTCTTTAGCGTAATCATCTATATTGTTAATAGGATCTATGTTTGTCAAGTTATTGAATTCGTTGAATTGTATAGATAGTCTACCATGAAAAAGTTCATAGGGACAATATACATTTACTGTCGATGGAGTTGTATTGAAACAATAGGTGAAGTAATTCAACCATATATCCCAATCATCCTTGTCGATCGAAATACAGTATAATTTGCTTAGCCTCGAGTACTTTGTTTTGTCTGTTACTGGTATTGTAACTAGATATTTAGTGAGATTATTTATTATAGCAACTGCGTACTCGTTGCCGTTCTCTGTACAAGGTAATGGTCCGATTGTGTCTATTAAAACAGAGTCAAATTCACTATTTGGAGTGTTCGTTAATATCATTGGGGCTTTAGTATGCGTAGTGGTTTTTGCTAATAGGCATTTCACACAAGTTTTCACATACTTTGTAATTGTCTTATTCATTTGGGGCCATTTGTAGTATTTCTTAATTTTTAGCAAGGTACGCGTAATCCCTGTATGGCCTTCTTCTATAGGATCATCATGATATTTCGACAGTATTGCTTTTATTTGTCTATCGTCATTTTTGTTTATTTGTGTCACTTTTGTTAGTAGCGCTACTTTTAATATATTGAAATATTCATTGCCCATATTTTTCAATTCATTTAATGATACAAATGCAAAAAGTTGTTCATTTGGGGACAACTGTAAGTTAACAATTTTATGTCATCCGTCATTTGAATTAAGCCTTTGAAAAAATTTACCCAAGTCGAGTTTTCCATTGGAGTACAAATTGTTAACTGAAATTTGTGAAATAATTCGTTTTCCTCTTTTAAGTAAACAATTCAATTTCTTTCCGTCATTATTGCTAACGTCTTCATAGACATTGGGATCTTTCAGATCTT